CCCCAAAACCCCAAAACCCCAAAACCCCAAAACCCCACGGTTAATAATTTGCAATTACAAATGAAATCATTAATTATAGAATAAATAAATAGTTAATTAATTAGGTGAGATGATATGTCATCTCATTTAGAGTTACTTCCGCTCATTAACGAGAACCATTATACCAAAATAGTTCCTAGTGCTGAAGGCAGCTGATGAATGTCTCTTACTATGCAATAATACTCAAATGGGAAATCCCTTAAGTATGGAACTAGCTTGATTGCTCCGGTGTCCTCATTTTTCTCAACACTCTTCATACTTAAGATACTGCCGTCTCCCTTGTTATTAGATGCCTTCTTTTGACCATCTATTGACTTTTCAGCGCTATTAACTGAGTCCAAAATTACAAAGATGTATAAGTATTTCTTTTCCTTTGCCTCATTTAAATATGGCCTCACATTATTTTTGTTGAATCTACCATCTGAAAGCACAATAACGAAAGGACAGTTCATGGTATCTCCTCCACTGTTTTAAGAATCAAATAACTGATTTGTGTCTCTCACAAAGTTAGCCATAGCATAGTCAGCGCTCTTAGGTCCACTGTAATTAAAACTGAATTGATTGACTATGAAAGCTGTTCTCTCATTAGAGTATCCGTCTTCAAATGACTAGAATATATCTAGTCTTTCTCTGATACCAGCCACTGCTACTTTGCCAACTTCGAGTCTATTGAGAGCTTCCATAATGGTAACTAGAGACTCTAAACTAAAGAAGCCTAAATTATTTTCCTTCATACTCAATGAGTCATCAATAGCAATCAAAATCTTATAATCTCTCTTTGATGGCATCGTCCTTCTAAGCCATATCTTATCATTTCTATAATGTGATGCTATGAATGAAATGACTTTCTTCATATTGAGGCGCTTTCCTGTTTTGTAATCTCCTTACAAGTGTTATGATAGCTGAGGTTCTAATACAATCCTTAACTATTCACATAGCGAGGAAGCAGAGTTCGTAGTCATTTACTTGAACTTATTTAGTAATTCGAGTGAATTATGATGATTTTCAGAGTCTTGAAGCCATTCGTTAAAGAGCTCTCTCATCATTTGCTTCTAAAGAGCATAGTCGAATTTTTCTAAATCATAGGAGAATTGAGTCTCAACTAGACTACTTGATCTTTCATCATCCTTTAATTCCATGTTCTAAAGTTGCTTGAGGTTGAGGTACTCCTGATATTTCTCAATTAAATCCTCTTCTTTGATTACCTCCTCCTTAGTAAGGATCTAATTATCCTTGTTTTTATTGCTCTGATCAACAATGTCTGATTCTTACTCCACAGCCTGCTTCATATTCTTGTTTTTAATTTCTTACTATGTCTACTATATATCTTAGTTCTGATCATCAACCATGTTATCATCATCTTTCATTTCCTCATCTTCATCCATCTGTATTTTATTGTTTTCATTCTACTCGTCTACAACCTGCTTCTTAGTTTCCTCAATTTTATCTGTGGCTAGCTTTCCCTGCAATTGCTCTGCTTAGTCATCGAATTCATACTCCATAGCTTAACCGTCTTGTTATTAATCTTATTCAGGATTAGGTTGTGGCTGAGACTAGTCTTTATCTTGCTAATCTTTACTCATTTTAGGCTATTCAATTGTAGCCTTGTCCTTGTCCTCTTACTACTGCTTTTATTACTGCTACTATGGCTAAGGTTTCTATTCCTGCTATTATTGAATCTTTTAAGCTAACTAGTACAAAATGTCACTGCCATCTACATCAAACTAGGTCTACTGATCAAGATCCTAAGCTTGTGATTAGTTCTCTTTGTTCTTATTCTATTGCTGATTCTGTGTTGAACTTTTCTTTTGCTGCTTTTTCAAGTTTGCTTGCTCATTTTCCTTTTACTTTTACTGGTCTTAGTCCAAGGATTGTATCTGATCATTTTCAAGTATCTCTTTATTGAAGTCTTTTTTATATTGCTCATCCTGCTTCTCTTGATCATCTTCCCCTTATCCCTCTTAGTCTTAGATTTCTTAGTCCTATTACTAGTCATCAAATTCTTAGATGTTTTCATCTTCCACTTTATCCTTTTGGTCAGCATCATCTTATTATCCTTCATTATCAGATTGAGATTTCACATCCTCCATGTCAGCATCTTAATTCTTTTCCTCATTTTCTTACTCTTTTTCATCTTCACCAACGTTACTCTCTCTGTCCAATGGTATTTCTTCTTATTCCTCCTAGTTTTCAGGTAATTCTTCCCCATCTTGAGACTTATCCTCATCTTTCATATCAAGGTCTTCATCCTTATTTTGCTCGTCTTATTCACCTTTACCTTCTTCTCTGTCCTGCTTATCCCTATCACCTGCTTTCATCTCTTTTTCTTAATCCTTCAGTTAATTCTCTTGATCAAGTTTTCTCTCCCCAAGATCAATCTCTTCTTTCTCTTTTTCCTCCTTCTTCTACTCCTCGTCCTCTTCTTACTGCTTCTCAAGGTCTTCCATATTTTAATTCCAAAGTTAATTGTCCAGCAGGTCGTCTACCTTATCCATAGCGTCGTCTTCATCGTCCTCATCATCCTTTTTATCCTCTTCTTCCTCAGGCTTGTCTGGAACATCTTCTAGTTCCCCGTCAAAGTCCGCCTCCTTCATCTCAAAATCATTATCATCGCCTTCTTGTTCATCCTTCTTATCCTTTTATTCCTGCTTTTCTTCTTTTTTCTCCTCATCTGATTCGTAATTCTTCAAACCCTCAAGTTACTCTTCATGCTCAATCTGGTTAGAGACATTCTATTCACCTCCTTGGCCATCTCCCATTCCACAACCATCTTGCTCAAAATACTTATCATCTTCTTCATTCTCTTGCTAATTCTGATCTTAATCCTACTCATCTTATCCACAGAAACCCTCATAAATAAGATAGATGAAAATTCTTTGAGAGATATAACTAAACTTTGCCAGAGATTTCAGGTATTTTTCTTCATTTTACTTTATAAATTCGATTATACCTTGCACTTTTACTATCAATTAAGCGGCTAGTTGCATCTATGCATTATTTTCAGATACTTCCCCAATACCCTTAAATCCAAATATCTTTTGAGCATTTTCCACTATCTAAGGAATATGGTTCTGCATCAATTATTGTAATTTCTCAACATACTCTTGTCTCTCCTTAATACTAAGGTCAATAATTAAATCTTCCTCTACTTTCATCTAGTCAGATGGCATCTAGTGCGAAGTATCGTCATTGGACATCGTAGTCTCACTCAAACTGTTTTTTCTCTAAGCATGATGTATTTCCTCCAACAGCTTCAATTTATCTTGGAATAGCAATTGTACTTACTTCTACAGTAATGTAACTTTCTTGTTAAGTGATAAATTATTAACTGCAGTTTCGTCTATCATATCTCTCTCAGGATTGATATCTCTTAGTTCTTGCTGCATAGTAATGAAAATTTCTTTTTATTCATTTAAAACAATCTAGAGTCTCTAAAGTGAAGTTGAAGTCAATTTTTATTCAATTTCTTTCAATAGAATTTCTAGTAATGAGGTTATATGGTAGAATGACTTAGAAGTTAAAATTGTCTTATTAATACTCTTGTAGTTGATTTAAGTGAAATCAGTTGAAGTAGACTTCGAATCAATTATCTCAACTAGTTTAACCTTGTCTATTAAGTTCTTATAAGCTACTTTGAATCTTTTTACAATTTTCTAATACTTAAAGCATTTGCTTGAATTTAAAGTAGTGGTATTTTCAGCACTTACAGTCAAATAATCCTTAGTCTGCTAACCAAGTTTATTTAATGGTTCTACAATGTTTTTAATCTAGCTCATATATTGATTTATCTATAGCATCTTAAGAACAAGTGACTGTGAAAATCCTCTGATTCTAATGATATCAACATTCCTTAGATCACTATGTTCATCAACCTGACCTGAATTGTCAAGAAGCATCATCAACTCGTGACTTTTATAGTAGTACTTTTCATATTACTCATCGTTAGTCTTGACAATCTTATTCTGAATGATCATATGAGACATTTTAGTCTGAAAATTCTATTAAAGGCCTTGATCTTTCATGAACTTGAGTAAATCTATGAATGCTCTTCTCTGAATATGCTTCTTGTTAATGTCTCTGACTAGTTTGATTCTTTCAAACATATCTCCTATAGTGTATTCAATTGAGTAAGGATCTGGGTATTTAGTCTCAATATACTTCTTCTCTAGGAATTGCAACTACTTGATGATCTGATTCTCAGTTTGAATCACAAACTCCCTCTCAATTTTAAAGCCATTATCAGGTATCTCTTCAGCCAAGACCTATTTCTCTCCTCCTAGACCTTAAAGCTAGCTGTCATCTTTAATATACTTCTTTCTTGATGAAGTTAGAATCAAAGATGCAATATTTTGCATGAGAATCTCCTCTTCAAGTTTGACAGCCTTATTGAGTTGTCTGTGAGTCTTGTCAATATTGTTCTTAACTATGTTGAACTTTTGAACTGTCCACTTGCTTACATCTATGAGAGTCTTGACTTTATCTCTCGCTTCAGCATCTAGCCTCTTGATTGTAGAGATCAACTTTGGCTGGAACTAATTATAGTAACTTAGCACAAAATGCAAGATATTTGTCATATACTCTAATCTTTGAGTCATTTACTCATTGATGTTCTTATACTGTGCTTTGAGCAGAGGATATTTAATAGCATTTGCCTTAGCTTTGAAATTCTCAAGCATGATTTCAACAAATCTCATTCTCGATTAGAACTGGCCTAGACTGCTGTCTCTGATAAACAAGTCAAGCAACTCAAATATCTTGAATTCAATTTCAAAGTTAGGGTTGCTAGAAGAAGTCTTTGACTGTTTCTGGCTTTTATAGTGAAGTTTATCAAAAACTTGTCTTTCAAGAGTGTGAGCAAGTCTGATAAAATTCTCAAAGTCCTCCTTGATCATTTTATTCTTTTTCCAAGATAGGAGGTTTCGCCATGAAAGGATTTATATTTTACGATATCTGATGATAAGTTGTTTTAGCAAGGTCATTTAAGCATCTGTTGAATTGATGCTTTTGCTTGCGTAGACCTCCCACTCTTCAAGCTTGTTTAGAATAAGCTCAAGACCTGTTAGGATTTTCATAACTGGTGTCAATTTGGGCTTACAATCAGTGATTATGAAGTTGCATAGGAACAGAGCATCATTTAGGATTGGGCTTTCCCAATCAGCTAGTATATTCTTGATTCTGATCATGAGTTTCATGATAGGATCATAAACCAACCTGACTTCATGAGGCAGGGGATCATGATAGAAGTTGTAGGTTTCTTGCAGTTTAACATCAGACACATTCATCACAGACGGTAGTTGATGATTATTCAAGTCCTCTCTCAGATAGTTTTGTGCCTCAGTCATAAAGTATAGATCCTCTTCTTATAGATTTATTGGATACTGACTTGTCACTGCCTAGTTCTCATAGAAAGACTTAACCATCTTGACTCTTAGCTTAATGAAGGCTTTCTTGTAGTTATCAGTTGATGAGTTATCCAGGGCTAGTAGTTCATTGAGGATCGAATGAGCCTTGATCTCAGTCTTTCTATTTCTTACTGGATCTACTCTCTCTTTTTACTATCCTGAGAACAAAGTCTTCTAGAATTCATCGAAGTATGAGGGGAAGTTTGTCTCGATTTCAAGTTTAGCTTCCTTTTCCATTTTCTCTTTATCCTCCTTGGTTCTTTCATCCATAGCTTTGTTGTTCTCCATTATAGATTGGACTTTCATCTTGAATGGCAACTAATAGATAATAGACTCAGCATCATCCATTTCTTGTTCTTGTTTGAGTTTCTTTCCGATTTCTCTTCTGACAAAGTACTCCAGGATGTAGGTAGTCAGGTCTCTATCTATCTTTGAGTAAGCTATTCTTTTGAATTTAATCAATTGCTTTAGGGACTGCTCAAACATAATCTAAGCATCTGGGTTTTACCTAGTGAAGTTTCTAACTTGATTCACCAATATGTTACTGTAGAGAAGTGTTTACCTATCATGCTTAATACTCAATAAAGTAGTTTGAAGTGTGTTGATTTATTGATTCAGTGAGCTATGTACTATAAAGCTATGATATCCTTGTATAAAGGCAAATATGGCGCTGAAGAATAGCCCAACCATATGATTGAAACTCACAAAGAACATTTCATAGCCCTTAACTAACATGTTCTTTATCACTTCACATTTTTCATAAATTTATCTGAATTTCGAACTGTCGCTTAGCAATTAGAATGGATTCTGCATCAAGTCATAAAGTTAAACCCCGATATCTTTCACAAAATATAGGAGATTTTTAAGCAACTAGGTAGCTTCATGATCTGGCTTAACCTTTTCTAGCTAGGATATAGTCTACTAGTACTGCTAGATTGATTCTTAGATATGGCTGGTCTGTCTATTTGCTTCAGCATGGCTTCTTAGTTGATAGAGTAAGAAGTTGAGATGAGCGAAATGCTAGTGCTGTTCAAGTATCCTTATCTTTTCTAGTCTGAATATCTCTAAGGGAATAATGAATAGAGTTTCGAGTAGCTCACTAACCTAAATGTTCTATAGTATTACTAATGAATCTTGGATATCATCCAGTGCTTAATTAATTTTCTAATTATCTTAACTTTGGAGATGCCTTTTCTATTCTAACAATTGAGGATCAATGTTCTAAAGTGCATTTTTAATATCTTAATCAATTCTTTTATCGCTCAATATGACCTCCTTAAATGACTTCTTTGTCATTCTTTGATTATTTTATTCTACAATCAGCTTTGATATTTGCCTCTAAAGACCGCTATTGCAGATGAAATAAGCTGGTAGGTCTCTTAAGTTAACTTTATTCTCAGCTTCTATCACAGACTCTAGCAACTGAACTTTGTCATTTTCAAATCCATAGGTTTGTCTAAGATTACTTAAAGACAACTGTCTAATCAAATAAATTTCAAGCTCACATTGGAAGGAATCATATAATCCTGGTAAGTTGGTGTGTCTTTTTAAGTAATGCTGCTTTTTGTGTGAAGTATCTAACCTTAGCAGCTTAGTTTGATCTTTAAGGAAATTAAGACTTAAATATAGATTTTAGGTTTAAGAGACTAAGATCTTAGACTAATCATTAGGTATCATTATCATATAGGGTGAGAATAGCTTTTCTTAGATCATGTATAGATCAAATTTGTCTGATTAACTGTCAAATTTGAGAATCTATTTGTCATCATCCATAACAATAACATTAAAGTTTTCCATTAAGGTCTTAATAGAAGTTCTAGTCAGTTACTATGACTTATTACTCAGATCCACAATGCATAATTTCATGGGCATCTAGTTAATCTCATTCCTTAGATTTCTAATTTCTTTGAATCTTTGAATTTCTTGTTGCTTCAACTAATTACTACCCTAGTTCTTGACTAAAGCCAGATCCTAAGTGGCTCCTTAGGATTGCTAAGCGCGGGTGAGAATGACTTAAAATATATGATCATCATTCTGAGTGATTAGTTTATTGATCGTTTCTTGATTTAAACTAGCTTTGGAGAAGAGATAAACACTAACATAGCTCAAAATGTTGAGGTCTTTTTTCTTTAGACCTTCATAGATTTACTTGAGCAGTATCACATAGCTCTGAATATTCTCCGATTTTTATTCAATAGACATAGAGCTCTATATGAATGTCATAGCCTGCTTGTTCAAATGCATTTATCTGTTTTAAGACAAAATTTTCTGTATTTTAGTCTTAAGGGTGTGAACTTAAAGGCTTAAAAATAAATGCCAAGAATCCTTATTGAATTGATTGTGGTTCTATTACAGAAATACCAATGCCTAGTTGGTGCTTTGTGATTTACTTTTAGGTGTGTTATTTAGAGTCTGTAGTAAGTAATCTTAGTTGCCAAAATAAGTTAGTAAGAAGCTAAGATAAGCTTTGAAGAATACTTTTTATTCCTTTGGAATACTAATCTATCTAAAATAATAGTCAAGTTAGTCCTTAGAGTAACCAATTTATTCCTTAATTTCCGTATCTTCATCTCTAGTTGATCTTTTGCCTAGTTAAGTTTAGTCGTCTTGATTTATTTCACTTTGAACAATATCCTCAAAAGATTGATATCTTTTATCAATAAGTATGTCAAAATCTTTCTAGTTGTGGATAAGATCAACTGACTTTTGGTCCTTTGCCAAATCATAAAACTGCCTAAGTTCCTAATGATCATAGTATACTTTAAGCTGTAAGCATCTATTTTTAAGAGCTCTTGAGACATCTTTGCCCTAATCCACGAAAGTCTGATGACTGATAACAAATATGGATCTGAAGTTTCTGTGGGCTTTTATCTCTCTAATTGTATTATCTTCAAGCAGACCTTGTTCATTTATAGATAGGTACTAATTCCCTTCCTCAAGAAGAGGATTTAGTCTATCTAAGATGCTAGGGTTGCATAAATTAGCATTCTCAAAGACCACCCATTCACCATACTCAATGGCTTTGATCAGGATGGAATCTACCCATTCAAATCTACTGCTACCCTTCTTGAGTTGCTTTATCACATGATTAAATCTCTCTCCCATACCACTATCATTGATATCCTAATGATTTTTTAGGAATTATTGTACAATAGCAATTATGACCTTATCATCTCTGCCTTTGATTTAATGAGAAAGTTCAATCAATTCAGGTTTGTATTTGTTAATGAATTCAGATTTCAATTCGTTAATGTATTTATTAAGATCATTTTGAGATGTTTACTCAAAGCATCCTAATAGCTGAGAAGTATCTGATTTCTCATTAAGCAAAAGCCTGTTCATGTGATTTCCTGAGATACTACTTAGAGTATGCAAATTTGACAAAAGCATTTATGTGTCATTGGTGATTACTAGCAATGGAATGTTAGCATTAAGGCAATCAGTGAGATATTGAAGTTTTTTCGAGTGAGATCCTTTTAGGTTAATATAGTCTTTCAATTAGAGCGAGAGTAGATTTTATGAGTCAACTTCTTATTTCATTTCAAGTGTTGTCTTTTTAATATCACTATAGAATTCTAAATTTGTAACTTATTAGTTGTGATAGGATAGTCTAACAGGGATGCTAATTTCATATGGGATTTGAGTGTCTAAACTGACTAGTCCACTATTCTTGAACAATTGAATAGCCTCTTACAATCTGCTACCTTGCTTTAATCTCTGCAAATAGCATATTTCAAACGCATGATAAAGTGCTTTGTCATTATCATTGCCCTATTTGATTTTGAATTCAGAGTATAGATGCATAAATCTAGATAAATCCCTCATGTTAACAGCACCCTCATCTTGATATAAGTTATTGTCAGTTTTAATTAGCATTTCAATTTAATGAGACAAATTCAACAGTAGTTCCACGTCAATATTCTATCCTTAGTTGTTCTTGATTTGTAGTTATCTTGTAATAATAACTGAGTAGTCTTCTTAGGTCAGTTCCTCGAGGTAGATTTTATTGAATCTGTTTAGGAATGATTTTGGCAAGGTTTTTCTGCCACTGACATTAGAGGTACTTTGACTGGGGTTTTAGCATGCAAAGACAAAGAAGTCTGGGTGACATACGAATTCTTGATTAAGCTCAGGGATGTAAACAGTTCTTCTATGATCAAGTAGAGCATTAAGACCTTCAAGCACACTCTATTAAGCCAAATTCATTTCATCTATAAGGAACCAATGTCCTTCTTTAAGTGCTTGTAATAGAACTCCATCACACCAATGGAATCTAATCTCTTCCTCATCTTCTTCGTTATCTTGATGTTATTGATTTGTCTCAATATCCATTTTATCAGAGTCACTATGATTCTTGTTACTGTGTGAACTTGTAGAAGAGACAGGATATTCTGAACCTAGCAAGTCCATCATGTCTGTTTACTCTGATAGATTGACTCTGATAATCTTTCTGCCTGACACTCTGGCTAAATTTTCTACCAAACTAGTCTTTCCAACACCTGGTGGGCCCTCTATCAAGATTGGCTTGTTTAGTTAGTAAGCTCTTAAGAGTTTCAAGAGATTGTGCTTGGTAGTATTGGCATCAAAAGCATAAGTATTGATATTTTTACTATCATTAACTTGAATCTTATTTAGAATAAATGGCTCAACTCCAATTACTTTTTTATTTTCGATATATTTGTTTTGTGACAGTTTCTAACTGTGAGAGAAAATCACTTACTCTAGAGTTTGAAGATAGTTTTCACACTGATCCATGATTTCTCTCTTTTACTTATCGCCTGACACATCAATTCCTAGACATAGACCGTCAATAATGACTAACTCAACTGCATGTCTAAATGTCTGCACAATATCTCCTTTGAATAAGTTGAGTGAGACCTTAATAAAGTCAATCATGTTAAGAATGTCACGGATACTCAATGCTTTCCTTTAGAGCGAAAAATGCTTATGAGAAAGTGTGAAGTTAATGAACCCAATAAAGTTGAAAATTCCTTTAGCTACTTTTACAATGTTTGACTTATCTTTTATCAACTTATGAAGTTTATCTAATGAAGTTTCCTCAATGATAAGATACAAATCAACTCTGTTTGAAATATCCTAGATAACTGGGTAACTTTAGGTAAGAATTGATTTGTACAAACTGCAAAGCTCCTCTTAAAGGAAATATGATTCTACCCATATTTCAGTCATTCTGTTTCTAAGAGCAGGACTGAGTTCCTTCTTTCCAAAGTCACCTGAGGGATTCATAGTCGCAACCATGTTGAAACTATCAGCACCCTTAATCTTAATGGCCTCTCTGCTTGATTTCTCACTTAGAACTAGAGTTCTATCTGCTTCAAATACTGAATTCAATCTCTCTAGCACTGAGTCATTAGCAAGTGAAATCTCATCGATCAACAATAAACCTCCTTGCTACATGGACTCAACCAAAATACCATCATGCCATTCAAAAATACATTCAAAGTCTTCTTTTAATTATTTGAGATCTTTCACCTTTTAAATAAGTGATTTATCTGTAATCTTAGCGTTTGTGTATTTATGAAATTAAGAATATTTTTTCTTAAGAGATTAGATTTAAACAAGCTCAGTGTATTCATCTTTTGTAATGATCTTACTTTGATTGATCTATTCTATTATCTCTGCAAGAGTGCTCTGATATTAATCCTATATATTCTTCAGGTTCTTTCTAGTTCTCATACAACCAATGAAGTCAGATGTCTCGGTATTCTGATGGCAGTTGATGGAAAACAAAGTCTATTTATTGATTGAAGCGAATACCTAGCAGAGAGTGGTTTTACCGCAGCCTGTCTCTCCTACCAAGAGCACTGGTTCATGATTGCTTAGGCATTTATGCATTAGTACTGCAAGTCTCTTGAGTTGCTATGACTGTATCAGCTTTGGCAAATTCAACTCATTAGGTATTTAGTTGAAGTCTTTAAGTAAGTTCTTCTTGAAATAATCTTCGTAATACTGCTTCTCATCAATTTTAGTGTTGCAACACTTCTCTATAGTCTGCTTAATGAATAGCTTATCTTGCTCATTCCTTGATCTCTCGCCTAACACTAAAAATCCTTCCATTGCTAAATCTTAAGTGCCCACTGATTGGAGAGATAGTAGTCTCTTAGCCCACTTAAGCAAGTCTCTAACAGTGATTGTTGATTCTTTTCCACTGAAGATGTTTCCCTGAGATCTGTATATTTGAAGGTTCTCCATTACTTTGACCATCAGCTATGCCCTTGATTTTGGCATCTAGCATTTATGAATGAGGATCTCAACAAGTTCATCCAGCGGCACCTCATTTACATTAATTAGAATGAATCTATTCTTGAATGCTTCAGACAACTCCTTTCTTCCTCCGTAGCCTTCTGTTGGATTCTAAGTAGCGAATATTCTAAAGTTAGGGTGAGCCTTAACTACTTTTTAAGTCTCTACTATGAATAGCTCTCTGTTATCATCAAGGAGCCTATTAAGGGCTTCCAGCACTTCAGATGGAGCCAAATTCAGCTCATCTAGAATAACCCAGTAGCCTTGTCTAACTGCTTCAACTAGAACTCCTTCCTAAAAGACAAGCTTGCCGCCACCTTCTTTGTCAGGAACATAAGAACCAAGATATTCTTGGATATCAGTGTGCATGTGATTGTTGATTCTGATGACCTTGTTATGAGTGATGCTCGCTAGGTATTAAATGGTTGAGGTCTTACCAGCTGAAGTAGGGCCTTGCAAGATCACAGCATAGTCTGTGATAGCCACCACTGAAGCCAATTACTTAAGCAAGGACTGGAATGTCTTTGTAGTAACAAAGTCTTTCTCATCAAAGTTGACTGGCTTGAATTTACCCTTGGGGATAACGAATTGCTCGACGTAGATATATTTATCTGACATGTTCTGCTCTAGTTGAATTGAAAGTTCTGGCAGTGATTTAATGTTGAACAAACCAAATATCAATTGCTAGATGTATTACTGAAGTGATTGGTCAAGATGACTGGCGAAGCAAGTATAAAGTGAGTCATAAATGGCTTTAAGCACTGGGTATTTAAGCTAGATTGAGGCCTTCATGAATGAGAGAGCTCTTGATAGATTTCTTAATCCAATATTTCCTCTCTTAGTCTGCTTAAACACCTACTCCCTAACTCTAATGTAAAACTCTAGTATCTTTCTCTTATGGCTTTCACTTGCTTGGATTGAGCAGTTCTCATTGATTATCTTCCACAGATCATTCTGGTTGTCAATCTCTGGCACATAGATCTCAGTCAGTTTAGATCTCAGACTCCACGTCAGCTACTTTTTACCTGCTGAGGTGTAGGGAGGATTCATACACATGAATATTCTGAAATCTGGGTGTCGTTTAGTCTCCACAATATCTGCTCTCTCGTTCAGCAAAATATAGTCTCCATCTACGAGCGTTGCTATTCTGTTCAGAACAGACTCAGAAGCCAAGTTGATCTCATCTAGCAAGATCCAATCGCCATTCTTGATGCTTGAAATCAGATTGCCCTCAATGAATTGGAATATAAATCCACCCCCATTTTCCAGTTTGTTGGATCTCTTCTAGACTTCTTTGATTTGGATCTGAAGTTAAGCGATATCTTACTTATAGTTGTCCTTTTACTTAGATCCCTGAATAGACTAGACTCCATGATTTAAGCATTAAAGGAACTCCTTGACTCTATTTTCCTCGAAGCACTTTTAAGCCAAATCTAGGAATTTCTAGTTCTTTTCTGGCTTGAATAATGATTTGAAAATATACAGGAATTTTTCATAGACTGGTCTTAGTAAGAACTTGAGATCGACTGGCTTGAAACCTCCTAACAAATCAGCTGAGTCTGTGTTCTGATTCATATTGAAAACATGAAGTTTCTTATTAAGGATTTAAGCTAGTTACTAGACGCAGGTAGTTTTGCCTGTACCAGTCTCTCCCACCAGCAATACTGACTCATCATGATGAATTGTCTAAAGAATCTACTCAATAGTCCTGAGTGTTGCGGAAGTGTAAACAAATTGTCTTTTGGGTTTTGTATTTTGATCGTCTGAATTCATCTGCTCGTCATCTTCTGATTACTGCTTTGCTCTTACTTATAAAGGCTTTGATCTACCGAATAAGCAAGTTGATTTGTTAATTTGATATTCTCTAGTAAGAGTCATGACATAGTCTGATACAGCTTATGGGTCTAGCTAAGACTGCATATTGCCATTTTCAACACTTTAGTTGTTCCATACATTCTAGACTAACTCCTAAATTATCAACTGCTTTATCTTGTTGTCATAAATATATCCAAGGTATATATCTGTTATCTCTTCTATCAGTACTCTTTTAATATCTGAAGCGAGGAAAAATTAATCACTCTAAAGTTCAGAATCCTTGAAATGCATGCTTAAAAACTAGTTAATCCTATTGAAAATCTTGAATATTTGCCTCACAGACACTGACTTCTGGTCTAAAAGCTAATGTTTTAGCTAGACTTGAAGCTTGTGACTGATAAACTTTACTGAATCTAATAGCATGTTAGGCATCCATTGAAGTTTAAAAGCTGATGGATATTTTTATCTCAGTATATCCTCAAAATCTTCTCTTAATTCAATTTTATTCAAGCTGACTTCAATCAAATGACTCAAGAAAGGCTTAATGTCTTCATGCACTATATTATTTGATCTTTGCTGGCAGATGGCAAATATTCTGAAGCCAAGCTTTGGGGTGATAGTTAGAGCTGATGAGACTTGCAACTCGTTAGATTAGACCAATGGTAGCAGGAATGTCATGAGATCTGACGGGATTTTCTCAATATTTCTCAGAATTAGCCAGAGACCTTGCTCTGCAGCCACAGTCAACGGTCCCTTCTTGAATACAAACTCTCCTATTTCATTGCATACATATGTACCAACTAGATTCTTTGAGTCAAATGTCTCCTCTAGTGTGACAACGATATATGGATTATCAATCTTATGCACTGCATATGTCTCATGAAATGAATGTGAGAGCAATTCAACGAATGACATTTTGCCACTGCCTTCTTCTCCTTAAATGACAAAGTGTTAAAATATGTTCTCGTCCATAGCTTTTAATACCTCATTAACTTTACCCTAGAGGTAATTAGTCATTACCTTCTTATGATGTTTATTCTGCATACTGCCATTAGACAGCTGCTGCTCAATAACTTGTAACTCGGTGCCAAATATTCTGTCAAAATATGCCTGCTTCTCAATCTCTTCCTGCTTACATATAGTTAAACTCTGGAGATAGTCTAAGTTATCAATAGACTTAAGTGAGATGAAGTCTCTATTGGTATCTGCATCTGGAAATACAAGATGTCTTAAGGTAGCTAGTAAGAACTAAGTTTTAGAGTCAAGAGTGGAAACTTGTTGAGATAATCTCATATCAAATAACATGCTGCAATTCCAAATTTTTTTTAAGTAAGGTTGACTTTCAAACATCCTGTAAATGGTCTCTAGATTTTTACTAATACTGCTATTAGCGACTAAACTGATTGGATTATGATTGGAGTTTCGGACATAGTAAGAAAGTATGCTATAGTTGAATTTGTTTGTAAACTGCAAGACTACGCTAATCATCAAGTCACTTTTCCCAACCATATTTTCGTCTCCATCTTCTAAGATCTGCTTCATTATTATTTCCAAGAGAGGGTTTAACACTCTAAGGGCAATGACTAATGTTTCCTAAGTCTGCTTTTCATGCAATAAATAATCAACAAGCATCTAGAACAAAGATAAATTGCTTGTTTTATTAGTTATATTGTAATGATTGATTTCAATTTTGAATGGAAAAATGACTTACCAAAGTTAGTTTCTTTTGATTGACTTCGATTGTGCCCATATCATTGTTGAAACCTTGATCAACTACCTGTTTGGCAAATTATTTGTGCTTCTTTGTCAAACAATCGGGTTGATTATTTGCTAAGAAGTTTAATCTTTGGTGCAAACCTTTGATTTTTATCATTTAGCTAGGTTTATTTATTATCTATTATAGATAAAGTAGTATTCTGATTGCTTTAATTTACTTTGCACTTTAACTATTAATACATATGTATCACTTCTCAGTATTAAACTATAGTTATTTTAATTTTTATTCTCATTTCATATTATCTAATTCCAAATCTACCTAGTGGGGTTTTGGGGTTTTGGGGTTTTGGGG